TGCCGTAAACGACTCTTTCCCTTCGAACATTCTACTATTTCTCTCCTTCCGAATGTACCATAGATAATGTGGGACAATTCTTAAGAAATCGCGTACATCCCTTCTCACACGATATCTTTTCCAAGCATGAATCAATTCCTTAGTAGATCGTGGCATTACCCAATGCATGCCGAACAATCTAAGAATAAGATTCCAACAGTTGTTCGCCGCAAGCAATGCATTAAGAGGTGATCAACTGACTCCCCGTCTTTCTTGTATAGACAGCACCAATTAACAATACAATTGTCCCTTTTCCTCAAATTATCAATTGTCAGAATCTTTCCCCAAATGGCGGTCCAAACAAAGAAAGCCACCCTAGTTGGAGCCATGGATTGCCAAATTGTCTTCCACGGAAAGTCGCGATTATCAAAATTAGACAGACATCAGAACAAGGATCTTACTTCGAAACGACCGTGGGAATATGGAACCAAATCAAATCATCATGATCTCTGCCAACACTCTCCTGCTGATACAAAAGATTCAGAAAAACACATACCTTATCCAACTCCCAATCCTGAAAAGAACGCCGAAAGTGCACATCCCACGTAATCCCACCGCTATCAAGCCAATAACAGTCAGCTACGTAGGCGTGTTTATCAACTGCAATGCTGAATAATCTAGGAAAAGTACGAGATAATGGCTGATCACCACCCCAAAGATCTTCCCAAAAACGAACGTGACGTCCATCATGGACTTTGAATCTGATATAAGCAGAAAAGGCATCCCATCCCTTCCGAATAGATCTCCACATTTACACCTCCCACAAGGGAAACTGGACATGTAGACTAGCCACCAACCTCTTCCCCAAACCGACAAGAGACTAACATGCGCCAAGGACGATGTCTTTCCCTCCCATATCTCCATAACCATTTGCCCAGGAGATTGATTGAAATGATCTAATCGTCTTATGCCAAGACCACCCAATTTCATAGGCTTGCGAACTTGCTCCCATCTGACAGGGTGATACTTGAACTCATCACCCCTTCCTTCACATAGGAAGTCCTTTTGAAATTTTTCAATCCTATCTGCAACGGAGCAAGGGATTTGGAACATAGAAAGAAAATAAGTGGGGAGGCTTGATAACGTACTCTTAATAAGAGTAACTTTAACCCCCTTGGACAAGTATTGCTTCTTCCACCTTGCCAATCTCTTCGCATACCTGTCAATCACTGAATCCCAACTCCCCACTATCCTTGAAGAGACCCCTAGGGGCAAACCTAAATAAGGAATAGGGAAAGAACTCACCCTGTATCCAAGAACTGCAGCTAAAGAGGGGATATCCTAAACATTCCCTACCGGGACAATTACACTCTTAGCCACATTGAGCTTTAGCTTGGAAACCGCCTGAAAACAAGCCAGGATGCACCTCAAATATCGAAGTTGAGACACATCAGCGTCACAGAAAACCAGGGTATCATCTGCAAAAAATAAATGAGAAATCTCCATCTGATGGACTGAATCTCTACTCACCCTGAATCCCTTAATAAAACCAAGGTCCTCTACACTGCGCATGAGTCTACTTAAACCCTCCATTAACGACAAGAAAAAGGAAAGATGACAAAGGATCACCTTGTCTTATACCTCGAGTGCAACCAAAGAAACCAGCGGGAGAACCATTCACAAGAATTGAAAACTTGACAGACGAAAAACAAGTCTCAATCCACTTCCTCTATTTACTTCCAAACCCCATTCTTTGTAACAAATAGAGTAGGAAATTCTAGTTCACATGATCGTACGCTTTCTCAATATTAAGTTTGCATAAAACTTCAGGAACACCACTATGTAATCTGGAATCCACACATTTGCATGCAATAAGAACTGAATCAAGAATTTGCCGTCCTCCAACAAAAGTGTTTTGGGAGTCCGAGATTATCCCATCCATTACTTCCCTCATCCTTAGGGCAAGTACCTTAGCAATAAGTTTGTAAATACAGCCCACCAAACTAATTGGACGGAAATCCTTTATGTCAGAAGTGCCTCCCTTCTTAGGGATAAGGGCAATAAATGAACCATTAAGCGACTTCTCAAAGATGCCAGTAGAATGAAACTTTTGAAAAGTACCCATTACCTTATTTCTTACTACAGCCAACTTTCCATCAGAAAACGCATAGTAAAACCATCAGGCCCGCTTGAGCTTTGTCCCCATTACAACTTGATAAAGCCTTTAGTACTTCTTCAGTAAAAGGATTCTCAATCTTATCTCTATCAAGCTCAGAAATAGCCTTAAAATGGAGACCATCAAGTTTGGGTTGCCAAACTAATGGCTCGGTTTAAAGCTTTTGATAAAAAGAAGCAATCCCGTTACGCATCTCTTCCTCCCTTCACAACTCCTTATCGTTCACCCGAATTCTTCCTATATGATTACTCCTCCTATGAGCATTAGCTAATCTATGGAAGAATTTTGTGTTCCGATCTCCTTCTTTTAGCCAAAGAGCCCGAGATTTCTGTTGCCATGAAATCTCCTCCATGCTAGCAATCTCAGCAAGAACAGCCTGACAGGAAGCTCTCCTAGAACGTGAAGACTCCACATCCCCTCCCGCCTCCTCTAGACGATCAATCTCGGAAAAATCTGCAAGGACTCTGTTCTTCCTCCATTCCAGATTCCCAAAAACATCCTTGTTCCACTGCTTAAGAGCAAATTTGAGAACTCTTAACTTCCCACCAAGATTTGACTTTTCCTTGGAAATCCTCCGCTTGCAGCTACATATTCTCAAATCTAAACGGGGATCTTCGAGAACACAAACCTCCACAATCCAAAACCAAAGGAACATGATCAGAAGTGACCCTTGCTAACACCGCCTGAACGATATCCGGGAACTTCTCTTCCCACTCCCCAGAAATAAAAAATCCGTCCAGTCTTGAAAGAGTGATTGGATCCCTACCATTTGACCAAGTATAGGCTGCACCTTCCATAGGTAAGTCAACAAGAAATTGGTCATCAATAAAATCAGAAAATTGATCCATTTCCAAGGACCTTCTTCCCCCTGTAGACCTCTCTGACGGGGACCTGACAGAGTTGAAATCCCCTCCCAAGCACCAAGGGATAGACCACAATTATTGGGTATGGCTAAGCTCCTTCCAGTAAATAGGTCGCCCATCATCAACAACCGGTCCATAGACTCCAGTAAAAACCCATATGAAATTGTCCTCTTCCATCTTAAACACACAAGACACAGAAAATCTCCGCATCCATGCGTCCGTTCTAGATAACCATCTACTGTCCCACATGACTAAGATCCCGCCTGAAGTACCTATAGCATTCAAGGCCTCCAATTCCACAAACCTTCCTCCCCACAAACTCCTAACCACCCCGTCAGAAATGGATGCCAACTTGGTTTCTTGTAAACAAACAACCTGGGCACCCCACTTCCTTAAAGTTACCTTTACCACCCTCCTCTTGTTTGGATCATTGAGACCACGAACATTCCATGTAATTATTCGTAGCTTCATTAAAAATCAGATAAAATTATCTCCCCTCCTCCCTTCCTAATACTCCTACTCTTGGTCCTTCCCCTTTCCATCACCCTCCTCTCTTCCCTTCATAGTTGACTTCAGAGATGAGATTCTTTATCTCTTGTGCCCCTTTCCAGGACGATAAGGGCCTCGTGTTCATAACTTCATTGGTTGCTGCAACTTCTCTTCCTTCCACTATTGCTTGAAGGATAGATAATGTCTAATTGTCATTACCTTCTGAAGAGACTCCCAACAACTCACTAGTGACTCCAATATTGTCAACTACCCAATCTATCCCCATATCAGCAACCTCTTCATCAGGTTGCACCATAGCCAGTGGTTCCTCCACTAGAATTTCGGAACCATTCTCCAACCAAGGTGCAAGCTCATTAGAGCAAACCTATTGGATAGATCCCAAATCATCAACGATCTCCTCTTCAAACTCTCTGTCATTCTCATAAATAGAATCTGATTCTGTAGCAAAATCGCCCAACCCAGCGAATCTACCGGACTCATTCTCCACTGCCCCTGCATAAGGCAAGCAGCTAAGGCCTTTCAATGCAACACTTAATTGAAGCTCTTTGAACATAGCTACAGCCTCATCATTTGACAACTGAAAATGCAAGTCTCTCCCCACACAGACCGTAACCCCTTCAGACAAATCCTTGACTGCACAGCCAGCAAGATCCATCTGCCTAGGAACAACAGACTCTCTGACTTCTATTCCTCTCGTATTCAACCCATGCATAAAATCGGTTCCAGTTTCCGTAACAGTAACAGACAGCCCAAACCTCTTCTCCGATTCCGTCACAACTTCTTCACTCCTCAACACCTCACAAGAAGGGGTAGAAGAAGAGGATGGAACATTAAAGCTCTCAGGATGTGAAAATGAGGGCATACCTGGAACGTAAGTAGAAGTCCACTTCTGCTTCTCTTTTCGAGACCATCTGACTCCATGACGATTTCTGTAAAAATCCCGAGACGAAGATCTGAAGATTCGTCCTTTCAGCTGTGTAGTATCAGAGAGGGATGAAGTTGAGATACCTGCACAACACTGAGAGTGACGAGAGCCCTTCTCGACAGGTCCTACACCAGCTGCGGCAGCAGAGATATTCATCCATCTCTTCTTCTCCAGTGAGCTCCAAAGAGTTGCAGAGGTGTCATTAATACGACAGCTCTGTGAATTGCTAACTTCTGTAGAAATAGGTGGGCTGGGCCTGGGATTAATAATAGAAACTGAAATCATATTATTTCCTTCTAGTGTCCTTTTTTTACCCTTTAATTTATTTACCTGAAGTATATGAAAGGTAGAATGTAATTATTTTCGGCACGCACAACAAACAAATGCTACAATGATTTGTAGGATTATCTTGTTTTGCCTCCTCTTTACCTGTTAGATTCGGTCAACCGTAATTTCCTTATTTCTGATTAAAATTTTAGTGTTTCTGTTGTGAATAGCCCTGCTTCTTTTTACTTATTTTTTTATTTTTTATTTTTTCATTATTCAGGTGATAGCTCATCTTCTGAAGCCACGTGGTTGGAAGCCTCCTGTTCGTAGACAATTTTTCTTGGATTGCCATGAAATAGCAGATCTTTGTGATAGTGCTGAACGGATATTTACAAGTGAACCGAGTGTTTTACAGCTTAAGGCTCCTATCAAGATATTTGGAGATTTACATGGGCAGTTTGGTGATCTTATGCGACTTTTTGATGAGTATGGTTCTCCTTCAACTGCTGGAGACATAGCGTGAGTGTTTTCACTAATACATTACCTTTCAAATTTCACTTTCTATTCCATCTTGTATCCATGTTGAAACTCCTTGATTAACAAAAAATAATTCTTAGTCCAATTTTTCCTACCTAAACTACGAAGCCCAACATCTATATCTCTAATTTATCTTGGCTTGTATATTTTTTGTAATTTAATTTATCAAATGTACACCTTAATCACACTTTCTGCTCATGCATTGTTTAAACAGTTGCTCTCAGAATGCACTACTTTTGTATTGGCTATTCTGTATCGAAACAATCTTGACAATACTACACAAGGTTCGAATATTTGCCATTGTCTATAATATTCAGACCTCCTAACATAAAACTGAGCATTATGGTTGTTATGCGAACATGTTTCAATATGGTTGCAATTTAAATGCAATCAGAAGCTACCTTGCCTTTCCTTTCTACCTCAACTTGTGTCAATTTGGTTCTTCTGTGCTCAGCAAACACCCAACTATGGACTGTTTTACTCTCTCATTTGTAACAATCTTTTATTATTTATTGATTTTTTGTTCAGTCAAGTTGTCCTAAACCCATTACGTGTCAAAACTAATCTCTTTTTCAATCTAGTTACCACACTTTGATTGTTAGTGAAATTTAACAGGCAGGTTTAGATCAAATGCTCGTATTATTTTTTTTTTTGTAGTAGGAATCACACTATCTGGTCATTTTGACTGTGTGGCTAATATCTTTTGAAAGCTATATATTTGTTTATATGGTTGATTAAGTAGTCTGGTCTGTCAGTTCTAATTATTTTTTTGAACAATCTGCTTCAAAGCTTTTTATCATTACAAGTTTTAATTTTTTTCTTCCTTAATTTTTTTTTTTCCCATTTTGGTTGGACGATCTTTTCAGCGTCAATAAATTTGGGTGCACCACTAGAATAACCTGACATCAACTATTTGGTCAAAACACCTTGACTCTCAATGCACTCAAGTGGGGAGCGCTCCCAAAAATCAAAAGACGCCCTTGGCGACACTATAATTTCAAACTATCTACAAAATTCAAAAGAAGATTCAAATATATTCAATTCCGCCCATTAACCCAAAAGAAAAGGGAAGACAATATATTGAATTTGAGAGACCAAATAGGGGACTCCTCGCCCTCGAAGGATCTCCTATTCCTCTTGCGCCACAAACCCCATCATAAACAAAGGGGAGTGGCTCTCCAAGCATCTCTGATTCGGCTCTCCGTTATACACCCTTTCTAAACCTCAACATATCCGCCGTGCATTCAAGAACAACCTAATCCACACCAAAAACAACCAAGAACATAGACCAGACATCCCTTGTGACAGGGCAATGTAGCAAATGTTGGTTTACAGATTCTCCTGACTTCTTACACATGCAACACCAATTCACCATGATTTGATGTCTCCTGAGGTTGTTGAGAGTGAAGATGTTTCCAAGGGCAGCAGTCCAAGTGAAGAAAGCCAGTTTCAACGGGGCTTTAGTCCTCCAAATTGCTTTCCAAGGGAAGGTGGGGCTTGGAGACTCCATAAGGCTTTGGTAAATGACGTGGCCGCAAACACCCCTATCGAGGTTTCCCCCCACGCCATCTCGTCCATACGCACGCCCTCCACCACCGCCTATATATTAAACTTAGGAAATCTGTGACCTCCGGCAATCATGAAACTCTCTACGAAACTGCACATCCCAAGTCACCCTCCCATTATTGAGCCGAGAATGGTCAGCAATCACATTTATTCACGGAAATCCTAAAAAGGAGAGGAAACCTACAAGCCAAAGCAAAGTCTGCACACCGATGGTCCTCCCAAAAGCTGCCCCACTCCAAACGTTGAACCGAATACATTTGGAGAACTCATCCCATCCTTTCAGATGAATTTCCAAGAACCCATACCACTGGCGGTTTCACCTCCCCAAATGCCACCTCCATTACCTTCCATAATGGCATGAAATAACATGCCTCCAAAGATTAGTCCTCTCACCCCCAAATCCCGAAAGCCATTATTCCCAACAATGCCTTATTGAACAACTCCAACATTCGGATCACCAAACCTCCTTTCTTAATAGGGGTACAAACTCTCTCCCAATTTCCCAATCGACCAAGTGGTACTCTAACTCGTCTCCCATGCCTCAAAAAAAAAAAAAAAAAAAAAAAAAAAAAAAAAAAATCCCTTTGAGTCTGTTCAAGTCTACGAACCACCGTCATAAGCATCGGGAAAAGAGACATAAAGTCGGTAGGAAGATTCAAAAGAGTGCTCTTCATAAGTGTAAGCCTTCCCCTTTTCGACAAGTATTGTTTTTTCTGACCTGAAAGCCTCATCTGAAATTTTTGGGCAATTGGATTCCAAATTGAAACCCTCCTCATTCATGTTCCCAAGGGTAGCCCCAAGTAGGAAATCGGAAAGGACCCAACTCCACATCCCTGCTAACTCGTGAATATGCTCAACCTCCCTAACTTGAACCATCTCACTTTTCCCAATATTAATTTGCAGCCAAAAAACAACTTGAAAGCAAGTCAGAATGCACCTCAAATGTCTCATTGCAAAAAATAATGGTACCATCCGCAAAAAGCAAGTGTCAGATGGCCAACTAATTGGGGTCACAAGGCTTTGATGAAAGCCTAGCTCTTCTGCCCTCCCCATCAATCTACTAAAGGCCTATAAGAAAGGTGAGAGAGGGTCCTCTTGGCGTAAATCTCTAGAGCTAGGAAAAAAACCTGCTGGTCAACCCTTCACTAAGACAGAGAAGCTGCAGTCGAAATGCAATGATAAACCCATGTCCTACATTTTTGCCCAAACCCAATATCCTGTCCATCAATTACATCAAGAAGTTCAAGCAAACTTGGTCATAAGCTCTTCTGATGTCAAAATTTGCAGACAACCCCCGAATCACCAATTCTGGTCCTAGCCTCAATGAATTCACCGGCAATTAACACTTAGTCCATAATTTGGTGCCCACCAACAAAAACATTTTGTGACTCCGAGATCACTCCATCCAAAGACTCTCCTCAAACGAATGGCTAGGACTTTCGTGATATTCTTGTACGCGGTTTTTGTTGAAGGACATAAATATTAAAGTTACACCCTGTCTAATAGCTTAAGCTTTTGGAGTAAATGGTTGTTAACATAGTATTAGAGCCAAAGGTCTCGAGTTCAAATCTCACTATCACCCTTATTAAAAAATTGAAAAGCACGTGTTGGACCAAAAGAAGGCTACACGTGAGGGGGCGTGTTGAAGGATATAAATATTAAAGTTATACCCTCTCTAACAACTTAAGCTTTTGGAGTATATGGTTGTTAACAGTTTCCAACTAAGCTAAGCGTAAAGCATGCAGTCGAAATGCAATGATAAATCCATGTCCTACATTTGTTCCCAAACCCCATTTCCTGTCCGTCAAATACATCAAGAAGTTCAAGCATACATGGTCATAAGCTCTTTTGATGTCAAAATTTGCAGACAACCCCCGGATCACCAATTCTGGTCCTAGCCTCGATGCATTCATTGGCAATTAGCACTTAGTCTAGAATTTGGCGCCCACCAACAAAAGCATTTTGTGACTTGGAGTTCACTCCATCCAAAACTATCCTCAAACAAATGGCTAGGACTTTCGTGATATTCTTGTACACGGTTTCCAACTAAGCGAATGGGTCTGAAGTCCTTGTCCTTGACAGCTCCACCCATTTTAGGAATAAGAGTAATAAAAGATGCGTTTAAGCTCTTCTAGAAAAAAACCTCTCTCAAAGAAAGCAGCAATGGCTCCCAACACCTCTGTCTTCAGCACTTTCCAGTTTTTTTGAAGAAGGCAAGTGGAAACCCATCCGGACTCGATGCTTTATCTCATCACAACTCCTCGAAGCTTCTAACACCTCCACCTCCTCGAACGGTCTCTCAAACCAGTCTCTATTGTCGCCTGAGATTTTGGTAAACTCGAGTCCATCAAGCAAAGGCCTTTAGCTAGTAGTCTCTGTAAACAACTGCTCATAAAAAGACACAAACCCATTCCTGGTGTCCTCTCTGGAAATCATATCCCCATCGAAATGGATTCTCCAGTGCGATTTCCCCTTTTATGTGCAATAGTAGGGTGGTGAAGAACTTTGTATTCCGGTCACCATCTTTAAGCCACAGGGCTTTGCACTTCTGTCTCGACAAAATATCCTCCATTTTCACAATTTCTCCAAACTCATCTTTACACAGCTCCCTTCTATTCACCTCGACGTCACTGAGACCCCTCCACTCTCTCCTTCCCATCCAAATCTAAAATTTCCATGAGAAGTCTTTTTACGCTATTCAAGGTTGCCAAACATTTCCTTATTCCAGACCTTGATATCTTCCTTCAGCCGCCTAATTTTGGTTGCAAGTTGAAAGCTTGGGCTTCCCCTAACCTCATGACCAGACCACCAGCCCTGACCTTCTCTTTAAAATCCTCAACTCTAACCTACATGTTTTCCAACTGAAACGGGATTCTTCCCCTCCGCACCCGTCTGCAATCAAGAAGGATAGGAATATGGTTTGAAACTTAACGCGCCAAGGCTACCTAAGATACATTTTCTCTAAATATCCAGAAATTAACAATCTGTCCAAACGTGATAAGAGTTGGGGAGTCCCCCCCACTGGGCTATGTGAATTGGTCTCGGTCCATTGGGAGACCGAGGAAGTGACAAGACGCAATGACGTCTGACAACTCAGTCATAGCAGTAGTCTAACTGCCTAGTAGATCTCTCTCACTGTCCGAATAGCAAAACACACCACAAAACTGACCATTTCCCTTCCAACTGTCCCCAACTCCTCCCACAACCATCTTCCTCCACATCCCCTCATGGACCGTACACTCAGAAAATGCCCACTGCGAACCATCTTCCTTTGAACAAAAGGGATAGAGAGTATCTTCCTTTCCACAAATCAACCTTCGAAATCCACCTTTTATCCCAGAGAACCCCAGTTCCCCACCCCCCCCCCCCCCCCCCCCCCCACACACACACACACACACAAACAAGTCCCCTTCACACACACACAAACAAGTCCCCTTCACATTAATCGCCTCCCAATTCACAAATCCACCTCCCCACTGACTATTTTTTGATAAGTAAAGTAGTATAGAGAGCATTTATAAGGGGAACGCATCCCAAGAATACAGAGAGGCCGAAGCCAAGGCCAAAGCCAAAAGAGGGATCCTAAGGACCCAAAGAGGCCAAGAAGTCCACAATCTCCTCCATAGATATATAATGTCTTCCAATACTCCAACAAAAAATGAAGCTAATAATACGGAATTTCAAAGTTCCTATGGGAGACTCCTCCCCATCAATCGGTCTGCTATTTCGCTCCTTCCAAATGCACCACCAAACACACTGAGGAGCTACCCTCCAAAAAAGACGAGCATGAGAACCCACCCCACACCCTCTCCAAGAGTCCATCTAATGCAATCAGCTTATGAAAGAGATATCAAAAGCAGATGTGTGGCGAGTGAAGTCTTCCATGGTGTGTGTGTTACAATTTTCAGAATTCATTGATGGCCAGCATCTTCATGATTTGCCTTTGGAGGGTGCTTCTTTCACTTGGGTGAATGGAACATATCCTTGACTTGCTTATCATCCCCAGCACATGATTGCCCCAAAGGCTTGCTAGACCCTTCAATATAGTCCATGAACCACTCATCATTCGAGCCTTCCAATTTAGTACCGCTCCGCACCTCCCTGATGGCTGCCAAGGGAGTTATCAATTCCGACAGTACCAGCTCCACCAGTATCACAATTCTCCCAAACAGGAGATGGAAGGTCCAGAACAGAGCAATGGTCAAGAGCCCAGGTATCATTTCTCGAAGACATAGAGCCTTCGTCAAATTCCCTAATATCAGGTGAACAATGATATCTGTCCTCCCTTGTATAAACAGAATCCCCACACTAGGCACTGCAGACCTACCTTAGCCCCAAGACAGTGAAGTCTCAAGTCTGATCTTAAAACATCAGCAGTCCTTCCAATTAACAACTGGATTCCACAACCATCACACAAAATGACACTTCCATCTTCGTTTCCACTTGGCAAAAGCTTCAGGGACCCACAATTACCCACATCAATGCTGGACTCTTAACATGAAATAGCCTCTGAAAATTCAGATGAGTGGGACAACTCCCTTCTATCATCCTCAAGTCTGCCTTCAAAATACACTTCAGCCACCGGTGAGAGTTTCTGAAATTCCGGCAACAAACCTCCATCCTCCACCCCACACCACCTCTCAACGCCCCACAAGGAGTAGAAGAAGAAAAAAGAATAGAGGGAGAAGAGAACATAGGGTTCAGACCAGAGCATGTACCTGGATTTTGGAACGAACCCGTGGTTTCCAACCATTTTTGCTTCTGATTCCAAGACCATCTCAGTCCTTTTGACTGTACATGATGCTTCTTGGAGTGATTCATTTTCTGATAATTGTTATTTGGACGAACATTTGAAAAAGTTGCCGCCTTTGTTTTGGCTCGGTTGAACCACCACTCTGAGAACAGAAGAGTTGGAGCTCCACATAGGGCGCTCAACGTGATCCTCAGCAAGATCAAAATTTCTTTCATTTTGATAAGGCTCATTCAATGAGTTCCCCACATGGATATCAACATTATCAGAGTCCAACCCATTTTGAAGTGGTCCAAATGAATTTCACATATTAGGCCCCAAAGATTGATCTCCCAAAATTCCAGATCGTGGCCTTAAGAATTAAGACTGACCTTTCGGCTTTCCCCTTGGGCCTACACGAGTGAACCCTTCACTTTGACTTGGCCCATCTCTCACCTGGCCCACCCGGTAGACGTCTCTTTTCTTTTTGCATTTCCGTTCATGGTCCGTAAAGATGGTGGCCCGTTTGGGCGAGACCAATTCACAATGGGCTTAGCACCTTTAGTGCATTAGGACAAGACTTGTTCCCTACTGCCCAGCCCAAGAAGAGAAGCAGGATGAGTCACGTGCCGAAATGCTGCTTGAGGGGACACTTTCCATCTTTTTAAAATTCAAATGCTATTCAGTCTTATCTCTAACCTTATCAACAGGCTCTTAATCTGCATTGTTGACGGAAAGCCTCCCACGCGTCCTCCAATCCTCTTTCGTGTGATTACGCACCACCTGTGCATGAAGCCCACTCCATCTTCTTTCAAATGCTACTCAGCCTTATCTCTAACCTTATCAACAGGCTCGTAATCTGCATTGTTGACGGAAAGCCTCCCACGCGTCCTCCAATCCTCTTTCGCGTTATTACGCACCACTGTGCATGAAACCCACTCCATCTTCTTTGTCCCTCACAATTTCCATTCTTCTGAAACTTTCAACCGACCCCCCCACCTTTGGTTCTTGACAATTCCAACCTCACCCTTAGGCATCATCTTCCACCATTCCTCCTCCTTTAACAGGCGGGAGCCATCTCCGCCCTCCTATCTCTCCGTCATTGGCACCAGTTCTGGTGGCTTCTCTTCCCAAACAGTCACTTTGTAACGGAGCCTCTTATCGTGGACGAACACTGCCTTTGGATATTCACTGCCATCTCGCACCAGAATACGGACAAGCCAGCATCCACCCACACAAATCCACCACACAGATTCCCAATGGTCACAAACAGGGCATGACACCATAGATGAAGAGGAAGACCATACCGCAAAACTGATGCAGTGGCAAAATAAAATCCCTAATTTTCTGCTTGCAGCTTTCTGAATTTTTTGAAACTTCCCATATTCTGATTTTTTCCATATTCTGATTTTGGAAGCTTTTCTGATTTCTGTAATTTTCTGATTTTTTAGTAACTCTCCTTAATTGTAACTAAGCCAATTATGGCTAGAATTGCTAGGAGACTCTATATAAATGGTGGCTATGGTACTGGAGAGGTGGTGATTAATTTTATTTTTAATATATTAGCAGCAATGATTGTTTGCTCGTTTTTTTCCTCCTTGTTCTAGCATTCTTTTCCTTCTTTGTTTATTTCTTTCTCGCTGTAGACGACAATTGTTTGTCCTCTGGGTAAGGTGGCATCAAAAACCTTTTTCGAGCCTTTCTTTCTCAGCAACTCAGCACGTCCCGTCCTAAAGCACCAAACATCCACCTCAAGTGTTGCGTTGCCCCAGGCCCGACGACCTTCCCTTAGCACTCACCTGGCCTTTAACTTTGAAGGGAGACGAAAGTGAAGAAGTGAGTCTGGCAATGGCGAAACACCAACCCCACATGAGCTTTTCCAGGCACGGCTAGCCCATTCTGTCATCTGATCCCTATTTCCAACTTCTTTGTCAAATTTACCGACCAAACATGCCCCAAGAGCCTCCCTATGTCTCCTTACATAAGCTTCATCCAAATAAATCGAGGGTCCTCTATAAGGTTTCGCTGCCCTAACAGAACCTCGCTGAAACATCAAGGAAGCCTTGCGATCTCAAGGAAAGACTTGGAAACCATACCCAGCAAGTGAGAACCAGAAAACCAAAATGGAACTAAGAATGGTCACCGAAGTAAATGACTCCAGCGCCTGAGAAGAGGAGAGGAAGACGGATTGAGAGAGGAAAGATAGGGGAAGAGAGGGTTTAACGGTCGCCAGAGTAGAAGACTCCGGCGCCTGAGAGAAGGGAGGAGATTATGATGCTAGAGAGCAAATCCCACTACCTTAATTCCTTAAATATATAAAAGTTATAGTTGCTGTTGTATGCTGACTTTTCATTTTACAAGACATTGCCATAGAAGAATATCATATATAATAATAATACATACATATATATATATACATATATATGTATATACATATATATGTATATATATATGCATGTCTATGCATAATGTTTGCTTGAGTAGAATTCATGTTTACTGTTATTATGCCTAATTTTCAGTTTCAAACAAAATTTTCCATTGTATTACTAATTTTATATAAATGATTATCAGATATATCGATTATCTCTTCTTAGGAGATTATGTTGATAGGGGCCAGCACAGCTTGGAAACTATTACTCTTCTTCTAGCTCTGAAGGTATCATTACTTAGTCGTTCTATTTCTACACAAAGTTTATAGTTTTAAAGCTCAATCCTATTTTTGTTCTGAAACTTGATGGACTGTCTTTTCTGTATAATTAACCTACATTATAGGTCGAATACCCCCACAATGTACATTTAATTCGTGGTAATCATGAAGCTGCAGATATCAATGCCCTTTTTGGCTTTCGAATAGAGTGCATTGAGCGCATGGTATGGTCTTATTGGTATGTTTTAGTGTTTTATTCTTTTACCAATGATAGCTATTTACGTATGACATGCTAAACAGGGTGAGAGAGATGGAATCTGGGCATGGCACCGGATAAACAGATTGTTCAATTGGCTTCCTCTGGCAGCTTTAGTTGAGAAAAAAATTATTTGTATGCATGGTGGAATTGGAAGGTCAATCAATCATGTGGAACAAATTGAGAACCTTCAGCGTCCAATTTCAATGGAAGCAGGCTCAATTGTTCTCATGGATTTGTTGTGGTCAGTTTATATCCATACTATTTCATTTTTTATGTTTATTATAATGTTCTTGTATTTAATTTGCTAGGTAAAATCTTTGAGTTTTTGTTTGTAGGTCTGACCCAACAGAAAATGACAGCGTGGAAGGATTAAGACCAAATGCTAGAGGCCCGGGGCTGGTTACTTTTGGGGTGAGTGTGTGTGTGTGTGTGTTTTTTTTTTTTTTTTTTTTTTCCTGGTCAATCTTCTTTAAGTTTTTTATTTAATTCTATTCTTTTGTTTACCACATTATATTTCTCTATAATCTTGTCATAATTGTATGCATATCTGCGCAAGTACAGGTATCCTAAGTTTTTTTTTTTTTGAACAAAACATATTTGAGTGAGAAATGAGACACAAGGTCATTAGTGTCGGTGACGATTGTCCAGATTGAAGATAATTTAATTGCCTTACTGCATTTTAAATTGGTTTGAGTTTGCCTGATGCTTTCTGGCCCCAAATTTTTTTCGAGCTGTCGGTTAAGCTAAGTAAGTTTGGTTGCTATTATACAGTTGAAACTATGCCAATTTATGCTCTCATTCTATGTTTGGTTTGTTTATGCTCAATCAAACTGAACTTGGGGTGCCCTGGATGATTTCCCTTTTAGTTAGTACTTGGTAGTGATGGTCATGTTCCACCCATCATTTGAGCATCTTGGTTTTGCAAGTTTTGTATATTATTCATTTTTTATGAGTAAATATGAATAATTAGTTAATTTGAGGAAAGAAACTTTTTTAAATTGTCTTCTCTCAGGCCTTTGCAAATTACTTACAATATCCATTGAAACAAATTTGTACTTCTTCAAGTTTAAGTTTAAGTTTAAGAAAAAAAATTTACCAGCAGATCAAAAGCGCTTAAGGATTGAACCAAAAGGTGCCCACTTTCTGACGAATTTCAGGCAAATAGATAGCTTCTTGTACTTGTCTTCTTTTTTATGGACCACAAAATGGAAAATGAGCGAAACGAAGACATCATCCAACATGTTGATTGGCAACTCACAGGACAGCAGGTTGCAACTTGTATTGGCTAGGCTGCATGAAGGTGGCAATGAACGATTGAAAGTGTAGTTTTCATCTTTCTTTTCTATCTAATGAGGGACCTATCTCCGTCAAAGTATCTAAGAGGCATCTTGGAGGTCTTTTTTTTTTTTTTTTTTTTTTTTGGGTGTTTATAGGAAATGAAGGGCATTAAACATGAAAAAGTAAATGTTTTACTGTATAACAGGGGTGGGGCATCCTAAAAGGAGCATGGCAAGGTCCTCAGTTTTTCTAATCCATTGCCATCCATACGTGGCAATGCTACTTTGAGAGAGTGTTGTTTCACTGTGGAGAGCTGTTGTCATTTGTATAGAGAGTGTTGCTTCGCTGTGGGTTTCTTGTCTTGTTGGTTTTCTTTGTCATGCGTTTGTTCTTGGAGGTTGCTCGATTGCCTCGTTTGTTCCAAGGTGGTTCTGCGAGATCTGCGATTCCGTACAGAGGGCCCTCGATTTTCTTGGATGACGACTCGGTTGATAGGAGGAGAGAAGATCTTAGATTATGCTTGGTCGGAAAGTTCGATAAAGAAGTGGGTGATGGGGATCAAATTGCTGCTTGGGCATCGCAAGCTTGGAAGATCTCCGCTGATGTGACGGTCTTGCCTCTACCAGATTCTTTGCTTCTTTTTTGGCTTCCCTTTGCGGCGGAGGCAACTCGGGTGCTTCAAGAGGGTCGTCGTGATTGGGGGAGGGCCACTTTACGAGTGGATGCTTGGAGTTTGTCGGTTGCTCGGAGGTCTTGAAGGAGAAGGGGTTGAAGAAAGTGACGATCTATGGTCTCCCTCTTCACCTATGGTGTCATGCCCTGTTTGTGACGGTCGGTGATTTATGTGGTGGGTTTGTGTGGGTGGATGCCGATGAAGCTATAGATGCTGAAAGAGTTCGTATTACTGTATCGGATGGTCGGGTTTGCCCTCCATTTGTGTTTGTCCATGATGAATGGTTCTGTTATAAGGTGGCTATTTGGGAGAAGAAACATCCTGAGCTTGTTCCGACGACAGATAGTTTGGAAAGAGGAGATGGGTCGCATTTGCTCGAGGAAAAAGAATGGCTGAAATTGGAATCTATGGGGAAAAAGGGGATGGCAGAGCTTAAGAAATGGACGGAATGGAGGGATGCGATGTGGATCCGGAATTCGGAGTGCTTTAAAAGACTTTTCGCTCAGAAACGTTGTGGTGGCCTTCTTCCATGACGGATCGTTGCCGACAAACAGGTTTCCGGCCGTGTTTGAGGGATGGAGGTCTTGCAGGGTTTGGCCGCCATTCCTTCTTGCAGCAGTGGGATCAGAGAAGACACCGTAGTGGGTTTCACACGCATCAAGCACGTGGTTGGGGAAAGGTTTCTAACCAGACACGTGGTTGGTGTCAAGGCTTCGCCCATTCTCAGTGGAGCACAGCTGTTCCCAACTTTAATTCAAATTCCTCTTGGGCTAGGAAGGCTCCGACGCCCAGTTTTGTTGAGGGGCCTGTTGCTGGGATGGGGAAAGGGGTTTTGGTGGTCTGTCAAGCTCCATCTTTTGGTGGGCCAGTTGAGGGGTCTTTAGGCAATGAAAAGCCTGTCACTGGTCCTTCGGGTTTTGGCAATCATTGGCCAACCTCTTGTGGATCGGCTGGTGGGTCAGTTGCCCATCCACTTTTAAATGGTTCGGTTGGTGGATCTTCTGGGCTGGAGAGTGGGCCGTGTACAGTTCTTTCTGGGTTAAAGAGTGGGTCGGGCACAGCTTCTCCTTGCTCTGGGCTTTGTTTGGGAAACACGTTTGGGCCTTTATCTTCCTCGGGGAAAGGAAATGCATCATATGTTCCTGGTTCGTCTTGTACGGGTTCTAGAGATGATCGGCGAATGAAGGTCCCCGTGCAGCGTCATCAGCTGGCCAAGAAGAAGGTCCTTCCTGCTCTTCTTAAAAGATGGACGAGAAGGATAAACAGAAGTGGGTGTCGTCTTTTCACTCGGATTCTGATCCAGGTAAGTCTTGTTTGTTTTATGCGAATTTTCCTCTCATTTCGTTTTTTTCTCCTCCTCCTCCTTCTGTTGGGGGGTCGATGTGATGCTTGGGGTTGGAGGAGGGAGGAATGGCCACTGATTCTGTCCTTTTGGCCCGATTGTTGAGGGGAATTCGGTGAATGAACCGCTGGTGAACAGATTGTGTTTCACTCGGCCTAGGGAGGAGTTTGGGGAGGAAGTCACGGTGTGCATTGGACGTGACGTGAAGATTAAGGTTAATGATGTGTCTGCCACTGTTCTATTTAAGGAATTACGGGATTTTTTTGGCTTTGAAAGGCTTTCAGTGTGAATCAAAGGGAGGGTTGTCTGAGGAGGTGATTGAATCGCAGCGAACTGGGTGTTCTCATTCTTCTTCTGTCCTTGACGATTGGGAGGAAACTGCAAGCTCTTCCCTTGATGGTGATTTGAGTTTGGCTCAGTGGGAGGATTTGGAACAAGCTGTGAACTTGGCTGTCCCTTTGGCTGTTGTCTGTCCGGAGGGAGATTGGGGGAGTGATTCTACGGATGTTGAGGGAGTGGAAGAGGAGTGGTTGAGGGAAAAGGGTTTGGATGTGGGCTCTCTTTTTGGAGTGTCGTTCGAGGATAGGGTGGATGAGGCAATGTGTTTGTTTCATGATGTTCTCAACTCTCAAATTAAGGAAAGGGTGAGAGGTAAGAGTAGGATGCCTGATGGGGTGGGAGAGAGGGTGGTTCAGAGTCCCACTGAGGTTATCACGTATAGAAGGAGGAATAGGGGATCCAGGGAGAGGGATAGTGGAAGGAGGGAAGGGCTTGCTGACTTAATTGTTTCCCTATGAAGCTACAAATTATTTCATGGAATGTCCGGGGTCTCAATGACCCGGTCAGGAGGAAAGTGGTGAAGTCGGTTATTCGTGCTGGGGGAGGTCATGTGGTATGTTTGCAAGAAACCAAGTTTGCATCAATGTCGGATAGGATGGTGCAGAGCCTTTTGGAAGGCAGATTTGTGGACTGGTTTGCCTTGGATGCTATTGGTTCCTCGGGTGGCATCCTGATCATGTGGGATAACAGATGGGTGAATAAGGTGGATTCTCAGGTTGGGAGATTCTCTGTTTCGTGCGTTTTCTCTTTGGTGGAGGATGGTGTTCATTGGGTCTTTTCTGGTGTTTATGAGCCTACTGAAGACAGAGCTTGTTGTTTGCTTTAGGAGGAGTTAGGGGAGATTAGAAGAAGATGGCCGTTGCCTTGGTGTGTTGGAGGGGATTTTAATGTTGTTCGATCTCATTTTGAGAGGTTGACGGGGGGGAGGTGGACGTCAGATATAGAGTCCTTTTCGGTGTTCATTGATGAGTTTGGGCTGGTGGATTTGCCTTTAGAGGGAGGGCCTTTTACTTGGTCTAGTGGCCGCTCTCCCCCTACTCTCTCTCGGCTTGATAGATTCCTTGTGTCCGGGGAGTGGGAGGAGAAGTTTTCTGATGTTGTGCAGACTACTTTTGCTCGCCCTATCTCTGATCATGTTACGTTGATGTTGGATTGTGGCAGATTGCACAGTAGACATTCTCCTTTCAGATTCGAGAATATGTGGCTGCGGGTGGTGGGTTTTTTGGATAGGGTTCGTCTATGGTGGTTCAAGGTGACTGGCACCCAAGTCATTTGCTTGCAGGAAATTTGCGTCCTTTGAAGGATAATATCAAAATTTGGAACAAAGAGGTTTTTGGGAATATTGTGTGGAGAAAGAATCGGGTTCTTGCTGAGATTGCTGATATTGATCGGATAGAAGGGCAAGGGGAGTTGGTGGATTCCTTGAAGGCTAGGAGGGTGGAGTGTCAGGCGGAATTTGTTGAGATTGCAATCATGGAGGAGATCTCATGGAGGCAAAAGTGTAGGGCTCTATGGCTTAAGGAGGGGGATTGGAACACAAAATTTTTCCATAGATTGGCCAATGCTCATAGAAGGGGCAATCATATTGGGAGGATTCGGGTGGAGGGGGAGTTATTTTGTCAGGAGGAGGAGATTTGCAAGGGCATTTCAGAGTTCTACGAGAATTTGTTCATAGAGACTATTGGGTGGAGGCCTTTACTTGATGGGCTTCAGTTTGCCTCTATTTCGAGCGAGGAGTGCACGGTTCTGGAGGAACCTTTCTCTGAAGAGGAGATTCCG